CTGCTTCTATGAAATGTTGTCAATATATACTCAAGAGATCTCAGGTAGAGGGCCACAGGTATAGGGACACCCCCTACAGAGGAGGGCAACCCCCTTCTGCCCCACAGTTTGTACCAATCTGAGCATGGGGTAAAATTCCTTCCCAAAGACAGAAGAACTGCCATTTATTGCCCATCTTGCTCAGTAGCCTGTGCCACACAGTGGCAGAGTGGATGCTGAAAGGGAGAGTGAACTGGGTATGACCAGGTGTTTTTTCCCACTATTCCTCTCCCAGTGGCAGCTTCCAGCATTTATGGTCTGACCCCCCAAAATGGCAAGAGACTAATGTGGAGCTACACAAGGAGCTCCTAAAATGCCTTAATGCAAAAGGAAAGCATACAGGCAATGGAAAAATGTGTGGGTCACCAAAGGAGTATGCCACAGGGACAAAATCAGGAAGGCAAAGATAAAGAAGGAGCTGCACCTGGCTGGGAGCTTTGACTGGGCTGTGTCAGTGCTCCTGCTGGGACCTAAGCTGGAGGTGCCTGGCTAGAGGGCCTTCCCCTCTGCGTAGGGTCAGACCCATGGCCAGATTTAGGGTCAGGAAGAAATTGTTCCCCATAGTCAGACTGCTGCAGTGTGGGGTGTGTTTGACTTCCCCTGGAGTGGGAGGCCTGGCCCTCTAGCCAGGATCTCTTGAGTGTATATTGACAAGGATGTTGGCTGCTGGGGTTCCCTTGCTTGGCCTGTGGCAGGTTAGGGTGCTAGCTCTGTGTTGTGTCAGGGGTGACAGGAGTCTTATGTCAGGGTGTGATGATGGTTTGTACGGTATGGCTTACAGAGGTCTGATCCTGCCACTTGACTTTGCAGTGACTCTATGAATAGGGTGATTGTCCCAGCCTGTTGGGATGCGACTCAAAACCCAGGTCAGTCAGCCCCAGTAGTGTGTTTCTTGCCTCATTGAATCATAGAAAATTAGGGTTGGTAGGGACCTCAGGAGGTCCTCTAGTGCAACCCCCTGCTCAAAGAAGGACCAACCCCAACTAGTTTATCCCAGCAAAAGCTTTGTCTAGCCAGATCTTAAAAACCCCCAAGGATGGATATTCCACCACTTCTCTGGGTGACCTGCTCCAGTGTTTTACTAACCTCCTAGTTAGGTTGGCCATTTGTCTGGTTTTATAGAGGACAGTCTGGTTTTCTGGTCCTCTGCCATCTGTTGATAGAAACTGGATGCCTTTATGTTTTCTATTTTTCACCTGTCGGCACCCCCACTTCCGCCAACACCACCACAGCTGCCTGCAGGAGCTCCCTGCTTGGCCTGCCCCTGCTTCTGACACCATCGTGTCCACCTGCGGGAGCTCCCTGCTCGCTGTCACCATGCCCCCGCTGCTGACTCTGCCGCTGCCTGCAGGAGCTTGCCATGCCCCACCCCTAACCTCTGGAGGCACACAACATTCATGGTGGTGGGGGCAGTTCCACTAATGCAACTGTCTTTTATTCTTGAGGTACCTTGATGGCCATCCTACTCCTAGTGAGAGAATTCTTCCTGATATCTAACTTAAACTTCTCTTGCTGCAATTTGAGACCATTGCTCCTTGTTCTGTCATCTGCCACTGCTGAAAACAGTTTAGTTCCATACTTTTTTGAACCCCGCTTCAGTCAGGGCCACCCAGAGGGTTTATGGGGCCTGGGGCAGGTGTGATGCTGGGGGCCCCACCACTGCCCCGTACAAGGACCCATGAGTGTGTGTACAAAGCTGAGGGACCATGGGTGAGAATACTTGCACACACGCATCACGTGAGAATTCTCACATGCAGCTCCTCCTTCCCTTGCCCTGAGAAGTGGGAACAAGGGAGCTTTCCTGGCTTGTTCCCATGGCAAGGAGGGCTAGGCAGAGAGAATTTGCCTTGGAGACAGGTTACTAGAACAAAATGACATTAACAGTTTGCAAGTAAAACATTTATTAAACTTATGCCACAAAGTTAGGAACATAAGAACAAAATGAGAAGAAGAAAGTTTAAGTATTTCTTTCTCACCTTCATGGATGCAAAGTCATCAATTACATCATCATAATTTATTTGCTCTGCAAGCATGTTCTCCACTGAGAGCTTGATCAAATGGTTCAGCCTGTCCTCCCCAATTGCTGACCGCAGGTTGTTCTTAATAATCTTAAGCTTTCTAAAAGTGTGTTCCCCACACGCAACAGAGACTGGCAAGGCAATGAGCATTTTCAAGCAAATGCATATCTGAGGGAACACAAGTTCTACACCTTTGCCATAAATCCGGTTGAGAAGCTCAAGTGCAGTGTCCACAGCTCCTCCAGAGGTGCACATGTTTGAGTCTTTCCTGATTTTGTAAAACAGGCAAAGTTCTTCTTGCAACTCATCCTTGTTCACATCTCATGGGTATGTGGTGGACAGGGACTCTGCAGACTTTGCAATTTCTTCATCTGCAGCAGCTGGTGGGTCAAGTATGGGTGAGAATGGGCTTGAGAGTTTTCCATTGGTCTCAGCTAAGCTTTGGAGATCTGAGAAGACCGTATCCATGGCTGTGATGAACAAGTCAACCCTGAATTTATCTTCAGGGGAAAAGATTGTATGTTCTGTAGTGGCTGGATCATTGTGGAAATGCTTTGTCCTTCAGATTCTTCTGTGTGTTCTCTTGAATTCGGTGGTGATACCTAGCCCCTCAGCAATGACCTTGGCTTCTGTGAGAAGACTTGGCTAGGAATTATTCAACCACTGAATTTCTTCCAGGAGGCTCTTGACGTGTTGCACCCCTTCTTCCATGGTGAGCTTGGATCCTTGGACAAGTTAGCTTTGGATGTTGATGGACTGCAATAGAGAAAACAGAATCTAGCATCCCTTTAGGATTTTTCACAAGGGGGTGAACAGCATCAATTCTCAAGCTCCACTTAGTTGTTGACATGGAGTGAAGAGAGAGTCCTGAAATTTCCTGAAGAATCTTCCATCTTGAAGGACTGCATGAAAATACAGTGTACAGCTTCTGTGCATTTCTGAAGTATGTTTTCACTTCAGGGTTCTTCTCCATGGCATGGGCACCACATAGGTTCAGAGAGTGTGCACTGCAGGGTAAAAAGAATGCCTGAGGATTTTCATCCTGTATCCTAGTTTTCACACCCTGGTATTTCCCAGACATATTTGAAGCATTGTTGTACCTTTGGCCTCTATAGTTCTGCAACTCTGCTGTACACTCCCCATCAGTACTTTCTTTATCTGCTCCACAATGTCTACTCCTTTCTTTTTATCACAGTCCACCATTTTCAGAAATCGTTCCTGCACATCCCATTTTCCATCTTTTTCATATACATATCTCATGATAAATGAGGGCATCCCACTTACGATGATTCCATAGTAGCGAGCATTTCTCACCTCCTCAAGAATCGTATTTAGTACTTTCTTGGCACATACCTCCAAATACTCATTCTGACTACACCAGGGCACGTAGTGTGCTTGCATTCTCTCCCCAGCCAGTCAATGCTCCGTAAGAGTTTCAAAGTAGCAGTTCAGATCTTGCTTGTATTTACTGATGAACTGCGCAGTAGAAAGGAACAACCTGCAGTCATCATGCTCTAGGGTAGAGTGTGATCCTATATATAGACACTTTGCATTTAAGTACTTTTTGAAGTGGGGAAATATGTGAACCTGAATATATGTTATGTCAAATGTTGTTATTTTCTTTGGCAAATACAAAGAAAGCAATATATATTGTTGTAATTATTATATTTTTGCAAATTCATTTCTGACTTTGGCCCTTAAGAAGCCACAGAGCTCACATTCACTCATCACTCGAACTGTTTCCCCTGGAAGTCTTTCTGTGACAACAGCCCGGCTCTGCCACAGATCCCTCCTTAAAGCCTTCCCTGTTCCTTCTCTCCTTGCAACAGACTCTGTAACCAGGGCTACTTGGCCTAGGTCCTAGGCTAGGCCAATCATAAGCCTGATCAATCTTGTCTCTATTGCTGCCCAGAGATAAAGAAAGATGTTACCTTATGGTGACTGGTTTAGGCTCCCCCTTAGATGTTGATGCAACAATCTCTCAAGCCTCAAATTAGCATCTGTTTCACGCACAGCTATGTATAATATTTACTGCATGGTCAGGGATGGGCCCCATAATGTCATAATTACATGTTGACAATGATTCAGTGTCATCTTACACTCTCATACACCAATTCTCTCTTTTTTATGAAAACAAAATACCAAGGCTTCTGCCGAGCAATGACACAGGGCAGGGGCCAGTGGTACACACAGTAGCTGAGGCCGGGGACCCTTGCTTTGCAGGGGCCCCAGGGCAAATTGCACCAGTTGCCCCCGTCTGGGCAGCCCTGGCTTCAGGTTGCTGAAGGCTGCTATTAAAGCCTTGCTCAGTCTCCTGCAGGCTAAACAAACCCAGTTGCCCCAGCCTCTCCTCAGAAGTTGGAGCAGGAGAAGAACCTGAGCATTAGCATCCTCAGCCTTTTGGCTCAAGATCAAGCAAGACTGGGGCATCTCTAAACCCCTGGGGCTTGCAATTAGACACCTGGGTGGGTTTGGGGAGCATGGGAAGCCCCGGGGGGGGGGGATGTAGGAGCCGCACAGACTTGAAGGCTCGGGCTCTGCTCAGTCGCATTTTGGAACCCGACTCTTGGGCGTTGCCCCAGTGAGTCTGGAACCCATAATCAAGACTACAAAAACCACCACCCCTGATCAGCTCTGAGGGCGGGCTTCTCCCTACCACCCCTCAGCGCGGGCACCTTGCCGGGCCCAGCCTCCCGGGGGCGGGGCGGGGGGCGGGGCCGGGAGAGCCCGGCAGGGCAGGGCGCGGCGGAG